ATTAAAGAAGTTATTCAAAAACAATATGTAAAGGATAATTTTAAAGTTGAATTTTTTATATAATATAAAAACCTTTAACGATTTTTTAAATATATTTTTAAAAGCTTTCGACTCAAAATTGTATAATTAAAGAAGTTATTCAAAAGCAATGTGTACGGGATTATTACAAAGTTTAATTTTATATATCATATAAATTGAAATATAACATTATTCTTATTAATCTTCTTTTAAATATATTTTTAAAAGCTTTAAGCTTATAAAATAACACTGAATAACAGTGTTACCACAGACAAATAATATTTGTTACTTTATCAAAGCTTTACACTTAAATTAAGCTTTCAACTTAAAGCTTTTATACAATAAAGAAGTGTAAACTTTAAATACTTTTAAAATTTGAACGTAAAGCTTCATTTTGATTAAAAATTAAATAAGCCAAGTATTTAATCACCACATTAGGATTTTTTAATAACTTTATGTATTTCATTATTTTATTTTTTTATCAAAACAAAAATTGATTTTTTAAAGTGCTCTTCCATATTTTAAATTATAAATATATATAACAGTCTTATTTAAGAATTTTTGTGTGTTGAATTCGGGACCATTGTTTATGTTGAGCTATTCTTTTAATGAAATCTAGGAAATTTCTAGAAATCATGCTTAAATGGTATTTGAAGTGTTGTTGTTAGAAGGTACGATTCATTTCCTAGCCAGTGCATCACATTCTCTTAGGGAATACCTATAATATCTAGATTACTTATCTTCATAAATAAAAACATTGTTTTCTTTTAAGAAATTTGTCCAAATGTTTTATAAGTTTGCCCAACCATAAAGTAATATTGAGTTTTTAGAAATTGTATTACAAACTAATTAAATGACCATTTTTTTAACTAAATATGTTTCAGTTAACCACTACCTTTTAAATATAGGAAGAAAACCCAAAAGCAGTACTTCAGATGTTGTGAAATATATAGTAAAATATCCGCTTTGATGCACCCATGACGGATATAGGATTTGTAACTTCACCTAGCTTTCATTAATTCTTATAAAGTTTGAAGTCTTAAACCAAGTGATATTGCCAGTTTTATTATAGCCTTAATTATTAACGCTTAGAGGGCAACGAAATCAAATAGGATACAATAAATATAAAGCGTGGTGTACCATTATGACTTCGAATAATAATAATAATAGGGCCTATGTTATCCATCAGAAATAGCTCTTACAAAACCATGTAAGAGGTAATACTTTTGAGCTATTATTATAGATTCTGTATAATATCAACTCATACTTATTAATTTAATATGAGGAGTTTATTGTTATGATTTTATAAGTTTTTTTTTTGTCAGTCATTCTATTTTTCAACACTTTTAATAAAATTTTACTTTCTTGGATAATAAAATCAAAATACACATAAAATTTAATCAACTATTATAAAATTTAAAAATAATTTTATAACCGATTATAGAACTAATGAATAATTCAATATTTTATAAATATTAATTATAAAATATGATAAAAAGATATATGTATATTTAATATATTTATATGAATATATTTATATAATACAAATATATAATTTATAAATTGATTAAGTATTAACCTGGGAAGCTTTTTTTGAAGAGGAAAAATGATATTGTGATTGGTGAATTAACATAGTTGACTGGAACTAGAGGAATGTCTAGCTTCTATATAATTTTAAAGTTTATCTATGTAAATTTTTCTTTTTAATTAAAATTGAAAAAATTTTAAATAAATTTTAAAATAAAATAAGTTTAGTAATACAATTTTAAAATAAAAAAATTAATATAGAAAGTGAAATGAAAGCAAAAATTTTATATAAAAGTAATGAAAAATGTAGGCTAAATTCAAATATCTAATTTGCGTTAATTAGCGTATACTACGCTCCTAAATTCGATAGGTGACCAAAGTCTATTCAATAAATAAAAGTTTTATTGCTACTAATTGATTCAACAAACTTCACATTTTCTGAATCATAATCATATAATAATGTTTTTTTCTTAAGTTATCAGTTCCGAATAAAATAAAAATATATAAAAATTCAAATATTCATTCTTAATTGATTTTTATATATATAAATATATATAAATATATATGAATCCAATTTTATAGTTTTTTACTACAAAATTAGGTTCTATACTTATTTTTATATAGAAATTGTTAAACGAGTTAAAAATAAAATGATTAAATGGAAACTTATTAAAGAGCTTGCTTTAAATCCACAGTCCGAAATAATCATTATTTAAGTCTATGCACCAATCGATTTTACTGGCGTGCAACAAGATATAATTTCTACAATCAATTCTTAACTTAATACAACAAACTTTATTCCTAGAAACGATATTCTAATATTTATAAGCAAATTTTATGAAAACTGATCTGCAGTAATAATAATCTTAATTGCCGTATACACTGGCTAGACTGGAGGATGTACATTAATAACATGTAGAACTCTTAATTAATAGAAACCTATGAGCAAGTTTGCCTTAAATCTACAGTTCAAAAACAAAAAAAAATTTTTAAATGTATGTTGTCCAGTTGCACTAACTCGGAAAAACCTCAACATAAGACTGGAGGAGTAACAAAATATACTTTCCATACCCAATTAATAACTTAAAAAATTTAGTTCGTAGAATGAATATGGCTATGCTTATAAGCAACTTCAATGGAAACTGGGCAGCAATAATGAAAGCTTACTTGGCTTCTACATTGGCAACATTTTTATATTAGTACGCAATGCAAATGGGTATTATATACCCATACCAAATATTTGTACAAGTATGTGTTAGAAAGCATATGAGAGTGTAAATAAAACTCCTGCCAAAGTCTAGCCAGTGTAGAAGCAATGTTAGAATGTTTTTTCAAAAAACTTGTTAAAAAGAAATTGACAGAAGAAATGATAAATGATAAATGAAATTGCACCACAAAAGAAATATCTGCATTTCACCTGTTAATACAAAAGAAAATCGAACAGACCATTTAATCTGATAACATTAGGAAACCTAAATAGAGAATTACTATATTTGAAGAGCTTGGAAAAACCACATGAGGTTATCTCTCGAACCACGTTGAGAGAGAGTTTCTTTAAAAAGAACAATTGATGTGCTGAATTATACCAATAAGGAGCCAAATAATAACGATAAGTTATAAGTAAGTAATAAGTAAGTTATTAATGACGAGCAGAATCACATCAATGATGATGATGATCTATCGGCTTTTTACACAATTGATACAAGACTTAATGGAATAAGCTCTTATCTTTATGTTCTGGCAGTACAAATTTTTATCGGAAATCACTGAAACCAATTTTCGTTAGATTTTATTTTTTTTTGAATCATTTCTGATATTAATACATTTTTAATTTAAAAGTTAAGTACAAATTTAAAGTTTACAATAATAAAATTCAACTCTATATAATATTTAAAAATAACATATTTTCAAAATTTAGTTAACATATTTTTATATATGTCAATTTGTTAATATATGTTTTACGTCATTATTCTAAAATTTTATTTATTGAAATATACACAATTTACAATATACTATAATGTTACGTATACAAAAGATATTATTAGCTGAATTTAAAAACATATATGAATCAGTTTTAGTTGAGAATCCTTTTACGCAAGTTGATGAAAATGGTTACGGTTTGAAGCAATATCATATAGGTATATGCTATTACTGGGACTGATTAAAAAAAATATATATAATAAGTGTATTTAAAGGTGTTACATATACTAAAATCCTATTTGGCGTTGATAATTTTATATCAACAAATCTGGACGATATTTATTCACAGAACATAGATCCGGAAATTGAAACATTTGAGCTGACGTCCCTAATACCATTACAGCTTTTGAAATTTCAATTTTATCGAAAAAGAAATCGGTACATAATGCAATTGACGCCTTGTCTTGATGGAGTACAAACAATGTATTTTGAATTTGGTGGCCATATGTACAAAAATGTAAATACTAATAGATCTTACTATATTTTAAAATTGATTTGAATGAAATATTTTTGTATCATAGCTATTTTGGAATACATGGCGAGAACACATTGCGACAGTGCGACTTCAATGTCATCCAACATTCTTCCATATATCTGGTATGTCACCTTTTTCGAGTTCAGATGTGCTTGCTGATGAAGAGATCTTTAAGGCTGTTATACATGCAGAACCACGTCGCACTGTAAGTGTTTGCCTAAGTCATAGTGGCAGTCTGTGAATTCTTTGAGATATTAAAAACTAATATATAGTTTGTTTTTGTCTTATATATTTACACAAAATATATATTTTATACAAATATATTTTACATTTAGAATAGTTGATATATTAATGAAGTATCTGTACAACGATTAAAAAAGTTAAATGAATTTTTAGATCGTAAGTTATTTTTAAACAAATAAACGCACATCATATTTGAACATATTGAAAGGAACAAAAAATGCGTACGAAATTTTATAATATGCACAATTTTATTGCACAAACGATTGTATCTGATTATGTGGTAATTAAGTCTACAGATAAAAGTTAAAACTAATCAAATATTTTAATTCTAAGAAACGTATCTTAATATGATTAACAAAAAATTTTTATATTTATGGCTTTAAAATATTTAAACTAAAATTTTTGTGAATTTCCAAAAGTAATGGATTTATCGGTGCTTTTGTTAAAGCCATTATTGCTCAAGCGATTTCCATTCTTAAGTATGCCATTACCAGTTCCTATGGTAATGGCGTTGCCGTTCATATTTTGAATATTTTTCACTGGTTGATATGATTCCGTCTTGAATGAAGAAGTTCTATTGCCAATGCTAACACCTTGCATTTTTCTATTTAAATTATCTGTACTGCTCGTACCGTTCTGCAATGGACAATCACTTTTATGCTCCATTGCATGACCATTGGGTTTCTTTAAATTGGATCTTGTAAGCGTGTTCTGTAGTTCGGCATGCAAATTTTCTGTATTGCTAAGTTCTGTGTTAGTGTTACGCTTCTGTGCAGATATAAACTCAAACTTAGTTGGTTCCTTACGTTGCTGCTCATACTCGCCTATAGTGACAGTACCCAATCGCATAGTGCGTCTATTACCAGTTGAGTTAACTGCAGTATTATTTAATGTGTCTCGACTGCCAACGTTGGTGCTGTACACATTTGGTCTCGTTACCGTTTTACGCAACTGCACATTGTCGTAGTCTGGAGTCGGTGAAGTGGGTGGTTTTAACGGTTCTTGTGCTACCATTGTGGCTGTATTAGCTGTTGAAGGCTGTTTCAAGGTAGTCAAGTTAGACGACTTTTGCGTTGAAATATTATTTTGATTCGTTTTTGGTGGTGAATTAGCAAACTGTGGTGGCTGAAATAAATAATAATTAATTAATAAATGAATTTTTTGTTTATATAATTGTTTTTATAGAATAAAATGAAAAAGCTTAATTAAACTTGATTTTAAATTTATGTTGAAAAACAATTTAAAGGCAGCTATCGTTGCATGCATAAAAGAGTAACACATTTTTATATTTTGTTTAAATACAAATGTATGTATGTGGCCTGCGAGATGCAATAATAAAAACACTTTAGCAACTATAAATATACAATATTATTATTATGATTTAAATTGAAGAGCTATTTAAAATTAATTGAAAATTTGAAACTAATCAATAAATATATAATATTATTACTATAATTCAATTTGAATATAATAATATTTAGAGCAATTTAAAAACAATTAAAAATTTTCGTACAATTTTGGAAGGTATATTCAAGCACTTTGCAACTCATTATGTGTAAGCATTATATCATAATATCATAGTACATAAGGTACTATACATTAAATGAATTGCTTGAGTGAAAACAACTTCTCATGCCTTCCTGTAGTATAAATGGGATTACCTATATTCATTAATATCTACTTAAAAATGCCTCATCTATAAAACTATGTTCGTTTGCATATTACAATATGAGCACAGGCAACCTCATACATCCTACAACAGATGACGGGAATATATTTTTTTTGAGTTCTACATGAAAAGTCCTTCAGTAGTACATTCAGTAGGAAACAGGATAATATTATATTTAGCTATGGAATTTTTTTTGAAAATAACTTATAATAGTAGAAGTCTATACAAGATACTGTATGATGTGCAGCTTCACTTAAACTTATTATTTATTTTATATTTCATTTTAGGGACTTTAAGTTTCGACGTTTAATACTTTGTTTTTAAGCTTTCTGTAGTACAAAAATCTTCAACATATTAAGATTTTAAAAGTGATGACGTACTTTTAGGGCCTGAGTAAGCACCGCCTTATATAAAAATAATAAAAGTGGTTTGGCTTCTAAACCTAATGGATAACTAAATAATTACACAGAACTTAAATTAACAGACACAAGTCAAGTTAAATACATTAAAATTAAACAATGTTTTTAATTTGATTAATAAATTTCGTTAATGTTAATTATTGAAATTTCCCCAAAATTAGTGAAAAGTGATTTATATAATGATGAGTAGAGAAAATGGAAAAAGTTTTTGATTCCTCTGTCTAATTTTAGTTGTAATAGTAAATATTGTGAAAAAATTACATTGTGGCGACTAACTTTTCAATAAGGCAGAAGCCCAAAGTGCATTCAGTCTAGAGAAATCATTACATTTCAGTTAATTAACGATAGTATTTTCTTAAAATTGTACCAAATTCCTAATGTCACACTAGTCTTAGAAATTATTTGATATTAATAACCTATTAACCATATTGGGTGGTACAAACCTAGGCTTCTTGCATGGCAGATCGTTTCCCTACAAATTTTTTTTACTTTTTCATTTTCTTCTATATTTTGACAACACACAGCCTAGATCACAGAAAAGTTCTGCAGTTCACTTAAGTTGGTTAGACTCTCTTTGCAATATTTTAATAAATAAGAGATTGTAATGGCTAAGTTTAAAACCTGACTTGCAGCTTAAATACTTGATAATATGTATAAGAATATTATATTTGAGCATATGATCTGCGATGAGTATCCTACATACCTCTCCAACTCCTTAACCTGAAATACACTAATCAACTAGGGAAGCTATATCAAGTTTTCAATATTCAACCTCTTTAAGTATATAGCTACACCCATTCCGTTATGCGGTTAAGAGCAAAAATCGAGGTTCCAAAAATTTTTTAACCAAGTTCTGGTTGGCCAGTCTATTTTTAAGTGTATAATTGTAGTGCAATTATTATTGAATGTTGTTTTCGAAACAATGTAGTAAGTTTTATTGGATATAATACTTCTGTATACTTGTATTATTAATTCAATTATTTTTGTTTTGTTTTTAAATATTAGTAATATTTTAAAAAGGCTACACTTAACTTAAAAACGTTTCTAAAGTAATAAAAAATGTAAAAAATTAATTAAATTAAGATGAGCTGCCTATATAATAAAAGCTGTTGAAGATAATGCAAAACGTATTATGTTAAAGTAGACTGTACAAACCTAAGCCGCCTAAAATTAAAATGAATCCATGGCTATGGGCAGGGTGCAAAAAATCTGAGCTATAAATATTAAGAAGCGTATGCTCGAAATCGGTCAGCAGACAAAGACTCGCAAAAGTTATCTCGCTAATGACAATGATTATAAATTAGTCAGAGAATATATACTGTAAAGTCATTATTCTATATATTATTTACCTGATAAAATATATGCACGTAATGAATAAACATTTTAGTTGTGTAACTGTGATGTATTGCACTAATTGTGTAACATGATTGCACAAAAGATGATTTTAGCTAATCATTAGGTTAAAGAAGAACTAACTAAATATTGTGATTAAACATGCGAATGATTTTATTATATTAAAATTATTAAACTTCATATTATGTTTTCGATTTTGTATGATTCATATATATAATAAAATACGTATATACCACCCAAATCAAAACATTTCAAAAACTTTATTGTTTTTTATCTTAACTGCAATGTTCTGAATATTTCAAAATCAGTCAAATGCAATCAATGATAAAGTTACATTACATTTTTTGCATTTACTAGAAAAAATGTAAATATTGATAAGTAACAGTCTTCATTCAGTAATAGTCTTACGTAAATTAATGGTAAAGAAAATTTTAATTATAATTTCTACGTATTACGAAATTTATTATTTACTATCGGTAAAAATATACAAAATATTGTTATCTAATGTGTAACTAAATGACATGTGCAACTCGTTTTTATATATTTAATCAGTAATCTTTTTATATATACCATTCTTTCAATAATCGAAACCTAAGTAACAAATATCGCTCTTTAAATTATGTGAAAAAATGAAAGTATATACAATTTTATAATCAAATTTTCATTATTTTTAATCAAAAATATATATAAATTAACTGAACTGTAGTAAGTTTTAAAAATAATTTATATATTAAATACGAAAAAAATTTTCGACTAAGGTATTATAAATATCGTGAATTATATAATACAACTCCATACTTCCTATTTTTCTGGTGCAAATTTTGATACTTTTTCAGCTTAATAAGTTATATATTTTTAAGCAATTGCTTTACCATTTTTAAAATATTAAAAACTTAATTAGTTTAATATATAAATAATTTTTAAAACAGTATTACTTTCTGATCAAATTAGAGAAATATATGCCCTAACAATTTACAATCCCAGATTTCATTAATAGAATATTTAGATATTTTATCCTTAGCTTCTACCCACTAAAACCAGAAAAATGTAGAGAAATAAATATTACAGACATAGTAAATTTCAATATGAGAGTGGGGAAAACTATAGATCTATGCATGATAAATTATGAACTTGAATTGCGAATATATTCCAATAAATTGTTAGCGAAAAATAATAAAATCAGAACATATTATTTCGGTTAATCCGTATTATTATCTTATCTGAATCTACAATAGTTAACAAAATAATAGTTATAATAAAATGACTTCATAATCTAAACACCAGCGACGATATTTATATTTAAAAGCATAAAAGTTGTTATTAAGATAAGAGTTTGTCACAAATACCCAAATATTAACTATAATAATAATTAAGAGAACGTTGATTACTTTGTATATTAAATATTATAAAAGTAAGCTCTTGCTAACTTTGAAGGAACTAATGACATTTAAAATCCGTCAACAAGAGGACTTTGCATACTTTGTGGTACTCAAAGGCAATCCTTGCTAAGTCTGGAAGTTGTGTATATCAAAACCTGCTAATTAAAATTAAAGAACTGCTGCGGATATTTTGAAAAATACCTATGTATCCTCAAAATATTTAAAAATTTGAATTACTGCTTTAATATTAAAAATTTTTTAAAAACACATCAAATGACCATCCATTATCTTAGTTTCTATCATCTATATCAGTGCTGTCCAAAGCAGGGCACATAATTACGCAAATAAATGAATTTAAATTAATCAAACTAACTTTAACATTATAACCGTATTTTTTTTTTATACAAAACAACGAATAACTATATATTTATTTCTGCGGCCCCCAATCTGTACAGTGATTTGTATCGACCCGCGATCGCATCTGATCTGGATAGCCCTGATCTATATAATT